GTGCGATGTGTGTGTTGTGTGTGTTGTGTCTTGCGTGGTGTGTGTGTGTGTGTTCAGTGTGGTGTGTGGGTTGTGTGCTGTGTGTTCTGTGCGGGGTACGGTGTATGCGTTGTGTGTGAGTGCGTGTGTGGTTTAAGTGTTGCGCATGTTGTGTATGTTGTGTGTGGTAGTGTATGTTGTGTGTGGTGTGTGCTGTGTGTGGTGTGTGTGCTGTGTGTTGTGTGAGTGGTGTGTTGCGTGTTGTGTATGCTGTGTCTTGTGTGTTGTGTGTTGTGTGTGGTGTGTGTCTGTGTGTTGTGTGTGTTGTGTATTGTGTGCGTGTTGTGTGTGCTGTGTGTGCGGCGTGTGTTGTGTGTTGTGGGTGTTGTATGTGTGGTGTTTGTTGTGTGTGGAGTGTGTGTGGTGTGTGCTGTGTGTTGGGTGTGCGTGTGCTGTGCGGTGTGTGTTGGGTGTGGTATGTGTTGAATGGTGTGTGTGAATTGTGTGTGGCGTGTGTGTAATGAATTTTGTGTGTTGTGTGTGTTGTTTGCTGTGTGTTGTGGGGTGTGTCTGGTGTGTCTGTTGTGTGTGCAGTGTTGTGTGTGAGTTGTGTGTGTGTTGTGTAATGTGTGTGTTCTGTGTTGTGTGGTCTGTGTGTCGTGTGTTGTGTGTGTCTGTGTGTTGTGTGATGCGTGTGTTGTGTGTTCTGTGTGGTGTGTCTGCTGTCTGTTGTGTTATGTGGAGTGTGTGCACTGTGCATGTGTTGTGATGTTGTGTGTGTTGTTGGTTGTGTGTGCTGTGTGTGCTGTGTGTGTGGTGTGTTGTGTGTGGTATGTGTTGCGTGCTGTGTGTGCTGGGTTGGGAGGGGTGTGTGTGTTGTGTGTATGTGTGGTGTGTGGTGCTATGTGTTGTGTGTGTTGTGTGTTGTGTGGCGTGTGTGGTGTGTGTGTGTGTCTGTGTGTTGTGTGTTTTGTGTCTTGCGTTGTGTGTCTGTGTGTTGTGTTGTGGATTGTGTCTGTGTGTTGTGTGTGGTATATGTGCGTTGTGTGTGTTGCATGGTGTGTGTGGTCTGTGGTTAAATGGCGTGCGGTGTGTGTGTGTTGCGCGTGGTGTGGTTTGGGTGTGGTGTGTGTTGTGTGTTGTGTGGATTGTGTGTGTGGTGTGGTGTGTGTGGTGTGGGTGGTGTGTGGTGTGTAATGGGTGTGTTGTATGGTGTGCGTTGTGGTTGAATTGTGTGTGGTGTGTGCTTTGTATGTATGTGTGGTGTGTGTGTGGTGTGCCTTGTGTGTTGTGTGTTGTGTGTGCTGTGTGGTCTGTGTGTTGTCTGTTGTGTGTTGTGCTGTGTGTGTGTTATGAGTGCTGTGTGTTGTGCGTGATGTGCGATGTGTGTTCATTGTTGTGTGGTGTGTGGTGTGTTATGTGTGTTGTGGTTGATGTGTATTGTGTGTTGTGTGTTGTGTGTGGTGTGTGTGCAGTGTTGTGTGTGCTGTGTGGATTGTGTGTGGTGTGTGTGTGTGTTGTGGTGTGGGTGTTGTGTGTTGTGTGTTGTGCGTGGTGTGTGTTGTGTGCTGCGTGGCGTGTGTGGTGTGTAGCTGTGTGTTGTGTGTGGTGTGTCTTGTGTCTTGTGTGTTGTGTGTGGTGTGTGTGTGTGCGTTGTGTGTTGTGTTTGGTGTGTTGTGTGTGTTGTGTGTGGTGTGTGTTGTGTGTAGTGTGTGAGCTATCTCTCGTGTGTGGTGTGTGTGGCGTGTGGTGTGCTGGATGTGTTGTGTGTTGTGTTGTGTGTGGATTGTGTGTGCTGTGTGTTGTGTGATCTGTGTTGTGTGTGCTGTGTAATGTATATGTTGTGTTTTGCGTGTTGTGTTTGGTGTGTGTTGTGTGGTGTGTGTGCTGTGTGTTGTGTTGTGTGTGTTGTGTGTTGTGTGGTCTGTGTTGTGTGTTATGCTTATTGGGTGTTGTGTGTGGTGTGTGTTGTGTGGTGTGTGTTGTGTGTGTTGTGTGTGATGTGGTGTGTGTCGGGCGCTGTGTGTTGTGTGTCATGTGTGGGGTGTGCGCGTTGTGTGTGGTGTGTGGTGTGTGTTGTGTGTTGTGTGTGCTGTGTGCTGTGTGCGTTGTGGTGTGTTGTGCGTGTGCTGTGTGCTGCGTGTGTGCTGTCTGGATTGTGTGTGGTGTGTGAGTCCTGTGTGTGTTGTGTGTTGTGTCTCCTGCGTGGGTTGTGTGTGTGGTGTGTGTTGTGCGTGGTGCGTGCATTGTGTGTGCATGTTGTGCGTTGTGTACTGTGTGTGCTGTGTGTTGTGTGTGGCGTGGTGTGTGTGTGCTGTGTGTGGTGTGTGGGGTGTGTGGGTGTGTGTGTGTGTGTTGTGTGTGTGTTGTGTGGCGTGTGTAGTGTGTGTGTGTGAGTGCGCGTGTGAGTGCATGTGTGTGTTAAGTGTTGTGGGTATTGTGTGTTGTGTGTTGAGTGTGTAGTGTGTGGTGTCTGTGAACTGTGTGTGGCGTATGTTTTGTGTGTTGTGCGATGTGAGTGGTGTGAGACTTGTGTGTGGTGTGTGGCTGTGTGTTGTGCTTGGTGCATGCATTGTGTGTGCATGTTGTGTCTTGTGTGTTGTGTATCGTGTGTGTTGTGCGTGTTGCGTTGTTTGTTGTGTGTTGTGTGTGGTGTGTGTGGGGTGTGTTCTGTGCTGTGTGTGCTGTGTGGCGTATGTGTTGTGTGATGTGTGCGGTGTGTGGTGTATGAGTTGTGTGTGAGTGCGCGTGTGTGTTAAGTATTGCGCAAGTTCTGTGTGTGGTGTGTGTGTTGGGTATGTGTGGTGTGTTTGTGTATTGTGTGTGGTGTGTGAGTTGTGTGTTGTGCGATGTGTGCGTTGTATGTGTTGTGTGTGGTGTGTGCGTGTATTGTGTGTGTTGTGAGCTGTGTGTGTTGTATGGTGTGTTGTGGGTGTGGTGTCCGTTGTGTTGTGCGTTGTGTTGTGTTGTGTGCGAGTTGTGTGAATTGTGGGTTGTATGGTCTGACTGCGGTGCGTGTGTGTGTGTTGTATGTGTTGTGGTGTGTGCTGTGTGTTGTGTGTAGTGTGTTTTGTGTGTTGCGTGTTGTGTGTTGTGTGTGGTGTGTGTGTTGTGTGTTTCGTGTATTGTGTGTTGTGTTTTGTGGAGTGTATGTTGTGTGTGGTGTGTATTGTGTATTGTGCGTTGTGTGATGTATGTGGTTTGGTTTGTGTGTGTGTTGTGAGTGTTGTGTGGTGTGTGTGTGCAGTGTGTGTTGTGTGTTTTGCGGGTTGTGTGTTCTGGATTGTGTTGTCTGTGTGTTGTGGGTGGTGTGTAGTGTGTGGTGTGTGGTGTGTGCGTTGTGTGTTGTGTGCGTTGTGTGTTGTGTGTTATGTGTGTTGTATGTCGTGTGCAGTGTCTGATGTGTGTTGTGTGCTGTGTGTTGCGTATTGTGCCGGCTATGTGATGTGTTACGTGTGGGTTGCGTGTTGTGCGTGTATTATGTTGTACGTGTTGTGTGTTGTGTGTTGTGTGATGTGTGATGTGTGTTGTGTGTTGTGTGTAACGTGTGTAACGTGTGTGTGTGTGTTGTGCGTTGTGTGGTATGTATTGTGGTGTGTGCTGTGCGTCGTGCGTTGTGTGTTGTGTGTGGTGTGTGCTGTATGTGCTGAGTGTTTGTCTGTGCTGTGTGTTATGTGCTGTGTGTTGTGTGTTGTGTGTTGTGTGTGATGTGTGTTGTGTGTGCTGTGCTGTGTACTGTGTGATGTGTGTTGTGTGTTGTGTGTTGTGTGTCATGTGTGTTGTGTAGTGTGTATTGTGTGTGTTGTGTTCGTGTTTGCGTGTCGCGCGTGTGCGTGTGCGTGTGCGCGTGGGTGTGGGTGTGCGTGTGCGTGCGTGTGCGTGTGCGTGTGCGTCAGTTATTTCCCGCCCCACTGGCTAATTAGCACCAGACTGCTGCTCGCATTTCAACTCCTGGAGTCGATCCACGCTTCGCGGGATGATTAACCAATGCACTTTGGCTTTACAGTGCCCACGAATCTGCATGGCCGTGGCCTGATTATTTCATCACGACGCGTTCGACTAAGTTCGTTCGCAACTGGCACATCCACCTGCCGACCGCGCCTGAGGTTCCTCTGCGCCGCCGACTTAAAAATGCGTTTGCGTGTGCGTGTGCGTGTGCGTGTTTGTGTGCGTGTGCTGTGTGCCGTGCGCGTGTGCGTGTGCCTGTGCGTGTGCGTGCGCGTGTGCGTGAGTGTGTATGTGTGTTGCTGAAGGAGGCTGTGGAGTACTGCGGCGTGTGCAAGAGACAGAGAGACGGAGGCTGTGGAGTACTGGGGGGATTCCTGGAGAGGCTGGAGGACCCTTCAAAAGCCGCCCAGAAACTCCTTTCAAGAGAAGGTTTTCAGGGGAACTCCTGAGGGGTGAGCCACAGAGTCCCCCCACCCACCCAAAAAAAAACATTAAAGTGGGGTCCTGGGGCGGCTGGGGACCCCCCACGAAAAAAAGCTACAAAAACCTCAAGTCAGGGGCTTTCAAAACTATATTAAAAGAGCCCAAAAAAACACCTCCCAACAAAAAGCACATCCAAAAAAACATACCCGAGGGGGGGTTGTCCTCATGGGACCTGAGAACCCCCCCAAAACCCAACTATATCACTTAAGGTTGGTTGGGGGGGTCCTGTGGGGACAGGGGAACCCTCTAAGGCTTCGGGTTGGGCACAGACAGCAAGCCCGCCCCCTCCCCATTCGGGTTGCGCGCAGACAGCAAGGCCCCCCCCCCCGGGTAGGCGGCCCAGCTGGCCTCAACAGGCCCCCCGAGTAGTCCTGGGCGGTCTCAACACCCCAACCTTGGGGCCTGGACTACTCGGGGGGCCTGTTGGGGCCGGGTGGAACTGCTCCGGGGGCCTGTCGAAGCAAGCTGGGACGACCTCGGGGGGGCTGTCTGCGCACAACCTGGAGCCTTACCAGCCGCACTATCGCCTTGTCGCGCTCTGCGAGCCACCCGCCGCTGGCCCCGCCCGCGGCTCTCCCCGCGGAGGGAGCCTTCTCCAGGTCGCGCACGATGGTCGCGGCCTTGACGTCACCCGTCCACGCAGCGATGTCCGCGTCGTGGTCCTGGATCTCCTCGCGAAGGATGGAAAGGGGCACGAGAATCGCTCTCTGGGGAAGGACGGTGGGACGTGGAAGAGAAACTGAAGCCGATGCATGGGCCAAATCACCAGCTGGTGCTGTAGCTACGAGGGTGCAGCCAGAGGAAGCGCATTCGACTGCTCCTCGTGAGAAAAGCGGGCGGAGCAGCGGAGGAGGAGAAGCAGGAGGCAAGAATCAAAAGGGTTAGGGAAGAGGAGGAGGAGGAGGAGGAGGAGGAGCAGCAGCAGCAGCAGCAGCAGGAAGGCGCAGGACGCAGAAGAGAACGGAGTCGCAAGCACGCCAGAACATGGATCAGAACGTGTGGCAGGAAGCAGGCGCTCGCAGCCGGGCGCGGGGCCTCTGGCATCCTCTGGGGCCGCGCGGGGCCATAGGAATCCCCCCGGCCTGGGCCAACGCCAGAGCATGGAGAGCGAGGCGCCGCAAAAGGGGGGAGGCGCCAGCCACGAATCAGAATCAACGAGGAAAGCCCAACGAGCTAGGAGCTGGTGAGGACGGCTCCTGCCGATGGGGTGCCTGCCATCAGCGAGCCCATCGCGGGCCCGCCGACGAGCAGGGTTCGGGGGGGGGGGCCAGGGCACACGGGTACCCATGGCCGTCGAAGCCCAGGGGCCCCACCGCCACCTGGCCCCGCACAAAAGTTAACAGCGTAGGCCAAGAATGCGACCCGGTCCGATGGACTCCACGGCCGCCGCACTCGAAGGGAAGTCCGCCCACCTCCGCTGCCCCCCTCACCTCGGCAGCAACAGCAGCAGCAGCACCTCCCCCGCCTCCAGAGTCGCGGGAACGCCACCCCATCTGCTCAACAGCCTGGGCGGGGAGGGCGACGCTGAGGAGGATGTGATCTGCAGGCCCACCTGGACCCTCAGCGCCATCAGGGGCCCCACGCGGGAGCCACGTTTGTGGGGAGAAAATGCGCCAGTTGCCACGAGCATTATCAAACATCAACTGCGGCTCTACTTCTACGCAGCCAGTCCTGCTATCGACCCCCCACCCCTTCATCCCTGTCAAATAGCACTATGCACTATGCGGCGCATTCGATTTGATCTTACAACCTACACCGATGCAGGAAACCTCCAAGACACCTCGAGATCCTCTCAAGTCAGACCAAGAAGCTCTCCAGACGGCCGTAGGGCGGCCCAGGAGGGCCCCAAGACGGCCCAAGAGACCTCTCGAGAAGGGCGCTGCGGCCCCCAAGAGGGCCACATGAGCAGGAATTCGCACTGACATGCCGAGCCCTCCCCGACATATGGCCCCCGAGACCGCCAGCAGGCTCGCAAGAGGCCCCCGAGAGGCTCCTGGAGACCCAGACAACTGCCCCAAGACGCCCAGGACAGCCAAGAAGGCCACCAGAATCGCCTCAGGTCGGCCGAGACCGCTCCCAGAACAGCCCCAAGACGTCCCCGGAGAGGGCCCCAAGACGGCCCAAGAGGCCTCTCGAGAGGACTCCTGAGGCCGCCGAGAAGGCCCCACGACGTGAAATCCGAACTCACGTGTCGATCCCTCCTTGACAGATGGCCCGTGAGATCGCCAGCAGGCGCCCAAGAAGCCCCAAAGAAGCTCCCAGAGGCCCAAGAAACTCCCACGACAAGCCCCTCAGAGGCCCCAGGAGGTCCGAACATTGTCTCCAAGAGACCCCCGAGAGAGCTCCCTGGAAACCCCACGGGCCACGGTTGCCCGACATACGCAAGCGCACATCATCAGCATCATCATCATCATCATCACCATCAGCATCATCATCATCATCATCATCATCATCATCATCATCATCATCATCATCATCATCATCATCATCATCATCATCGTCATCATCATCATCATCATCATCATCATCAGCATCATCAGCATCATCATCATCATCATCATCATCATCATCATCGTCATCGTCGTCATCATCATCATCATCATCATCATCATCATCAGCATCATCATCAGCAGCAGCATCATCATCAACATCATCAGCAGCAGCAGCCGCATCTTCATCATCATCAGCAGCATCAGCAGCATCAGCATTCGCGTCATCATCATCATCATCATCATCATCATCAGCAGCAGCAGCAGCAGCAGAGCATCATCGTCAGCATCAGCATCACCCAGCAGCGGCAATATCATCAGCATCATGATAAGCATCATCATACTCATAATCAGAATCAGCATGACCATCATCATCAGCAGCAGCAGCAGAAGCAGCAGCAGAAGCAGCAGCAGTGTCACGATCAGCACCAGCATCAGCATCATCATCACCATCATAAGCATCATCATCATCAGCATCATCAGCATCACATCATCATCATCATCATCATCATCATCATCATCATCATCATCATCATCATCATCATCATCATCATCGTCAGCATCAGCATCAGCATCAGCAACGGCATCATCAGCAGCAGCAGCATCAACGTCAACGTCATCAGCATCATCAGCATCAGTATCACCACCAGCAGCAGCGCATGCGCAGAAGCAGTATCAG